AAAATAACTTCTTAATCTCCTAGCATGAGTGAAGCAGTTGTAGGACAGCTTTAGAGCTCCTACGCTGAGCTTCAAGGGACAGTTCACCTCTCACCTCTAGTAGCCCCTTTTTGTCCTGTATGTAGTACTGGCAAGCAGCAGAGCAGCGTTCCACCTAATCTTGCACTATCCCAGTTAAGGTAATCACTAGTTACTGTGACTTCTTTGTACCTGTGGAGCGCTGTGTGATATAATCAAATGTATTCTTTAAAAAGACACTTCTCAAGATTCTCAGCATTCTATCCTGACAATTTTCTAATAACATGCTGTTCTTTAAGAACTTTACATCAGATCTGAATATTTGTTTTCCAAATGTGTGACAGCGTTCTTTAAAATAGGTGGTAAAAAACCACAAAAGAGAAGTAATAATTTCTATTTAAAAAAAAACAAACCAGAACTGGGTAATTTCTTTCTAGTAGAAAAATTTCTGTAATATCACACAGGATTCAGCGTTTTTAGTTTCAGCACAGAAGAAACACAGGTTTTGCATGGCTTTGGAGTAGTGATGCTCCACCTGATGGTCAAAACAAAACATCCTCAGAAGGCTGTGTACATAAGATTTTGTCCATGTGGGCTGAAGGTTACTTTAAAGAGCAGTTGTGCCATGACTAGTGCTGAAGGACCTGCGTCACTTTCCATTAGTGAGCACTATGAGAGTAATAACACCAACTTAATTTATGTGTTCTTAGCAGTACAGTGATTTTTGTTAGTGTTGATCCTCTATAGGAAAAGGTTGGGTGTCTTTTTTGGTTACATCGTATCTCAAGATGTTAGGATGACTCAGGTTTTTTTCTTGGCCTTCCCATAATTTTGTTCTATGTGTGTGCAAGTAGCTTCATCTCTCTATGTCTCCATGTTCTGTTCCTAGTGTGCAAAATAAAAATTCATTATGACATCAAGTTCTTTTGAGGTAGGCTCTGTGACCGTGGTGAGATTTTATGATATGCTGGTAAGTGCTGTAGAAGTACCTCCACGTTTTATGTCTCCGCATTTCTTCATCCATCATTATACTATTTGGTGGTAATGTTTTTCTACCGCTACTGTTGTAGTAAGTATTGTGAAGCTGTCTGGAAGCAGACATCATAACTCTTATATCACGTTTGTGGTGGATCTCCTACTCCATCCTAATGATGAGAGGACACCTGCCAAGAGGTGCAATGTGGGCAGGCGTTGCTCTGTGACATCTCTCTCCCATGTCTTCAGACATGCCAAATCCCAGTCCTTCTTGAGGCTCTCCTTTAAACACGAGCACAACTTGTTTTTTTTAAAAATAAGTTTCAATAGAGATTCCAGTGTTTTCTGGCAACTATTCTGTTTTCAGAGTGTAATTATCAAGCTGATAAAGAATTTTAAAACCTTCAGTAAATGTTGCAAAATGTTTATTTTCACGAAAGGAAATTATTATTTATCTCTTTTTTCCTTGTACTGTGAGAGCTTCAGCCCCTCTGTCTAGGACTTGTGATAGATCTATAACATTTTAAATCCAAGCACCATTTGGGGGCATTTTGATATTCTCTTGCCTATATATGTGTAAATAATTGACTATCATGTGTAAGTAATTGCACAAATAGGTACCCATCCAATGTCATGTATTTATAATCCAATTCGTAATGCAAAATTAGAATAATTTTATTTTAAATATGAAAGAATTCTTTTAAGCATGTTCAAAGGATACTTAATCCACTTGTATGTGTTTGCGGGAAATAAATTCTGCTTTTCACAACCTGGTGGCAGTTGTTAATGCACAGGATTGCTGCATTTCTGCATTACAGCTGTATGTTTTCTAAAAGAAGCAGAACTCCCTTATCCTTGCAACTTCAAAATGTAGGTCATTGTGGTGGTGAATGTAGGTCAGAGTGAAGGGGAAGAAGACAGAATGCAAACTCCTCCACATGGATCTTTAAGCTTATCCCTGTTTTGACGGTAAAGAGGCTTACCTACCTGTTCAAGCACGAGAAGCTTTTCCTTTTACTAAAATTAATACAGGTATTCTGGCTTCTGGCTTCTTGGCTTAGCTGGAAGCTCTTTGTGCATCCACACTTGAGACATGTGTTTGTGAAAGACCTCCTGACTCCTGCTTCTTTAGCTGCCAGCCAGTTATATCATTGCTGAGGTGATACTC